ATTGTAGGTGTGAGCACAATCATGACCGGTTGTAGATAGCAGCCTGTCGAAATGTGCAGTTCAGTAACAAATTGACCTGCCATCATTGTTCTCTGCTGCAGCCTGCCTCCAGTTGATCTGTGGGTTGTCATGTGACCTTGGTGTAACATTACGAAGGCAGTCAGTGTGAGAGTGGTGGGGGAGTTATCAGCTCTACTGCTGTCTTTCCCCACCTTCGAGTGGAGGAGGGGAGGGGAATTTCCACCTCCCACCCCAGAATTATGACTGCTGGGCTATTAGGGAGGAGGACCGGAGAGGCTTGGCATGCTTCCAGTTTGAAGTCCACGTTGGCCGTATGTTTATTTGAAGGGGGCGTGTGCTCTGTGAATGAATTGTGTTCCTGCACCATGCAACTCGAATGAATTTGCACTGCAAATTGCTGCAAGTACGAACTAAGGACTGTGGCGACAAGACAACCCAGATCTTCGTAAACTGTGCGACAAACAGCTTCTCTCCCTAACCAATGAGATCCAATGATTGAGAGAGGATGACGAAGGAAATAGTGAATTAGGATCAAATCAAATATAGAACAATAAATAGAAGGAAGAAAAGATGGAATTTGGAGGCTGAGCCAGTACAGAGGTGCCTCAAAACTGTTTGTGGGGTGACCCTGTTTTAATACCTCAAACGTTGTGTGACTCCAGAGTGAAGATCAGGGGGTGTATGGATGTTGTTAGTTGGAGGTGGATGTTTTCATGTAGAGCTGCTGTTTGGGGGTGGGGGAGGGAACAGTTCTTGATTGGGGGATTGGAAATACAGGAGTTGTGTTGGAATAGTTGATTAAGGCAGTGTTCCTACAAAATAAACCTGAATACCTACCTTTTCACAGGCCTTTTCTTTTGCAACAGCAACTGCAGTTGGGCCTCTAGGGATAGTTCACAGGAGCATGCCCATCACAAGAGGATTTAAAGGAGCCTTTCAGTTGTCAAAAATTAGTCCATGCTCCATGGCTTGTCACACCAAAGCCTCAGTGAGGTCACGACTCACCGTATGGGAATCCCGAGACAAGTCACAAAACTTTTGCCAGGTTTTCCTGCTCTTGATTGCTCTCAATGCTGGGACTCAGTGTGTGGCACTCTTGCCTCTGAGTTCAAAGGTTAAAAGTTGAAGCTCACTTCATGACTTGACTGCATAATCTAGGAAGTTATTTCTGTGCAATACACAGAGAGAATGTTGCAATGCAGGAGGTACCATTTTTCAGATGAGACATTAAACCAAAGCCTTGCCTTCCCCCTCGTGTGGAGTTAAAAGGTCGGTGGCACTATTTTCAAAGAAGTCTTCTCCTCAGTGTTCTGATCAACTTTCATCCTTCAACCAATATCACTTACAGTTGGTGATCACATGCTAGGACCTGCATACAGGCTGCTACCTTTTCTACTTTGCAGCAGTGACCACAGTTCAGATCAATATTATATTGGCTGCAAACACTTTATGACCTCCTGTGGATGTGAAATTCACCGGCAGGAGGCAATGGCATCGTGCTGGGCCTGGCAGAGAGCTAAAGCAGGCAGTGCCAGCGTCGTAACATTCAGCATCTCTTGCTGAAAGTCTTTCAATAAGCTTTGTGTTGCATTGTGAAGAGTTTGAATCTTAACAAAAGAGTGCGCAGTGCCCCAGGGGGGAGACAGTTTTGTCATCTGAGGCAGATTTCCAATTATCTTCTGGCAGTCAATGATCTTTCATGGCTGTCGCCCTTTGCCAGTTGTTTGTCAGTGAAGAGACGTGAACCCTTGAGAACGATAGTGATATCGCAGAGTGAAGGCAGGTTGTGGAATTAACCCTTTGGAGGGACAAGCTTGAGTTTTGAAACCTGTTACATCTTTCCACCAGCAACCTTCAGCATGGTGGTCATCTTATTGCTAGCTTATCTCCTCTCTTTCATCGTGGTGGACTTTTGGGTTTGGGGAGGGGCTGAGTATCCTGCAATCCCTGCTTTCTCAATTTAAAGCTGGAAAGTGCTCCATCAAATGTTATGCTGTTGCTACCCGCCAACCATTATTTAAGACGCTTTCTACAGAGTAGACTAGTAAAACACAACTATTTACAATTGCTGAGACAACAAGGTGCAGGGCTGGATGAACACAGCAGGCCAAGCAGCATCATAGGAGCAGAGAGGCTGACGTTTCAGGCCTAGACCCTTCAGGCCTAGACCCTTCATCAGAAAAGGGATTCTCCAGCATCTGCAATTCCTACTATTTACAATTGCTAAATGGACATGTGCACATAGGAAGTCGAATGAGCATACTGGCGCCATCTGATGGTTTATCTGGGAGAAGCAGCTTCACTAAATTCTGCTGCATTGCAAAAGTCATCAGTCTGTATGTTCCAGGGATTATACTGATGCATTAACAGCACTCATTATTATCAAGGCACAAAAATATCCTGCAACACATGGAGTAAAAGAGGTAGGCCATGAGTTCTGATTTTTCACAAATTAACATTAACCTTGTTAAAACCAATCAAACGATAGAAGAGCCGACATTAATATAGTGCCTTTCGCAACCTCAGGATATTCCAAAGCATGCTTCAATAATGATGTACAGTTGAAATGCGGTCATTGTTGTTGTGAGAAACATGCTAGACAATTTGGGTACAGCACGCTTCCCACACATAGTAATGAGATAATGACTAGATCATCTATCTGAGTAGTGTTGGTTGAGATCTAAGTATTTAGCCAGGAGAGGAAAGTCCCCTACTAGACTCCAAGTTGAAGTTAATGTCAATCACCAAATTGGACAAATTGCAAATTATTCCTGCCGCAGTTGTTTAGAGGTTGTAATTGATGTTGTTGAGAGCACTAATACCGACATGATTGATGGTCCTGACGTGACACTTGTCCTAGGACATCAATGAAGTTCTGGAATCTCACTCCAACACATAGTGAGTTGCCTGTAGAGATTTTATTGCCTTGGCCATATTTTTGCAACAGTTTTGCCACCAAATGTCCTGTTGGAGTTAGAAGACAATCATTTTCACATTGTAACACTGTAACACTGTTCAACGTTCAGAAATGCAAGTTGTATGGATTTGTTTCAGAAAGTAACATCTTGGGTTACTGTATATGAGCAACTTGAGACATTCCATGTGCTGAATGTAGCATTCCATGGGAGGAAGAAGAAATTCCAAACATTCTCCACCACTGGGGGTTTTCATCGTCTCATGCCTGGGTCTGTTATAAAGCTTGATTGCTGTGGTTAACTAAAAAAAGTCTATTACCGTGGTTTCATGTGACTGCTAGGGCAATGTAAGGTGAAAGTCATTGATCCTTTTATCTAGTTATTCCTGTAAAAGCAGTTCTAATATTCCTCATTGTGATGGTCTGGATGACTATTCTTCACTTCTTAGATGTGGAATATTTCTAATTTTAGTGGTGCACAACTCTGTGACAGTTCAGGCATCAAATGTTTCCAATTCAACAGATTTCAAATGCCTACTTTTTCTGTTTCTTTTTTTCTTTCTCATGTCCTCTTGCCCCCCATGTGTCTCTCTGTGTCTCTCTGTATGAAAGGTCAACTCTGTTTTACTTGAAGACCTATCGAAAAAGAAAAGTACAGCAAAATAAACCTCAATATCTCTACTTCCAAGAACTGACAACCTGGAAATGCTTTTCTTACAGATATCTGGCAGATGCTGGGGCACTCTCTTCCTCAATGCAGTCTGCATGTAACTTTGCAAGGCTGATGTGTGTTTTGAAGCCTTTATTGTATGATTCTGTTTTATGGATCACACATTCAAACCTATAGTATTGTCAATTGAAAATGGTATATTGTTTTCGTTGGCCTTTTGAATTGCTAAGGCTATTTGTATTGGCCATATGTGCTGTCAGACTGGGTGACTGCTGAAATAACTATTGCAGTGAACTAACAGGAAATATCTGCATTGATATGTTTTGGTAGCAGTTCATTTTCTCTTTCTTTTTCTTCTTCAATCACAGCAGGTATTTTTAACTGTTCTTTTACTGATGGGGAGGGGAATGTTGGACGGGGTGGATAATTCTGGGTTTGATGGGGTGTCCACAGCAAATTTGTTTACAGCCTAAAGTCTCCAGCAATTGGAAAATTAATCCCAAAGCATTGTTGCAAGTAACTTGCAATCCCTCTACCCCAACCCTTCCCAACCGTTAGAGAGCTTGCAAAGAGTCATCTTGTGTCAGCGCCATCTTGAATCTTGTACTAAGAGATTGAAATGCCAGGACCATTTTTTTTAAAAAATAAAAAAACTGAACCTTTTGAATTGAATTTCCCTTAACTTTTTCTTTAATTCATTCATGTGTATTTATTGCCCATTTTTTATTTTACCAAGAAGGTAATTAAATATCAACTATGCTGCTGAAGATGTGGAGTCATATGTAGGCCAGACCAGGAAAGGATGGCAGATATTCTTCCCTCAGAACAATACTGAACCAGATTGTCTTAAAAATCAATCAACTGAGTACATGGTTGCCATTTATTTACTACTTGATTTTTATTGGATTCAAATCCCACCATTTTGCTTTGGTGGGATTTGAACCCATAACCCGAGAACATGAGCCGAGCGCTCTGGATTACCAATCCAGTGACATTATTATTACATCAACACCAACTCCAAATAGTTTGGAAACTGGATTGAAAAGACCAGTTCAACTGTAGGTTGAGTTTAAACAAAAAATTGTTGGCTAGTCAATGGCCAGGAAGGAGAGTCTCCCTGAGACCGGGCATGTCAGATGACTGATGTGGAGTGGGTGCTCACTGGAAGCCAGAGGTCATGTGATCACACCTCCTGGAAAGTGTTCATACCAGAGTTGGCAACTGTAGCCATGGAACATTGCTGCATTGAATTTGAAGGGAAAAGTACGAAGGCAAAACTTAGGGCAATTTTGATGGTCAGCTTAGAGGGTTAATGCAGCTGTATGTAGCAGTTCAAGTATGTCAACTGTTGAAGTTTCTTCCATTTTTCTTAAACTTTGTGTTTTCCTTTTGCAGAGATAACTAAAACAGGAGCTTGTGAAGAACCAAAATCAGGAACTACAGGTACAGGAGGAGTTTTGAACAGATGTATGAAGTAATACATGATTGAAATTATCTGTCAGTTACTCTTCAAATTTCTTGGCTTTGCAGTTGGGTGTGAGTTGATTTGTGGGCTAAATGAACTGCACACTGTCACTCTCCTGATGTCTTGAACTTCAGTTCAAGCTGTACTTACCCTGAAACTTCCTAAAGCAGCTGGTTTCTCCTGTAGGTGGGTCGTCAAACCTCCTGGATTGTTCTAGAGTCCTAAAGAAATGATGGTTAATCTCCAGGATACTACAATGGGCAAAATGTGGGTATAAAGTCAAAGAACCATCAAAACAAAACCTTTCATTTCTATTGTGTGTTACGTGTATTATTGTTTTGTGAAAAAAAAGGGTCTTTAGCTGACAGTCAAAAATTATCCAATCGGAACAGCAAGAGTTTGTTCATTTTTCTATTGGCTGTGGAATGCAAGGGCACAGCATTGGCTCGATGGGCAACCTATGGGGAAAGCTCAGGGTGGAGCGAGGTTGTCTGAAAATCTTGAGGATCCCATTCATCTGGAGCTGGCAATCATACCTGGAGTGAGTGTTCCACTGTAATTTTGGACTTCTAGCAGCACAGTGCAGGATTACCAAGTAATGCCAGTACCCAGCTAATTCCATTTAACCATATTTAGATGAGCTCCATCCTCCGATTTATCCACCCCACCTTTTGCAGTTTTCTTATTTTGTTCAACATCCAGCCAGCTGTAACACTAAGATCTGATCTTGTGCTTCAACCAAGTGTTAGAATACCATCATTCAGGAGCTCAGTCATTTAGCCCAGTCACCTCAGAAGACTGTAGGCTTGTGCCCCACTTGAGAGACATGAGCCCACAATCCTAATTGCCATTTAGTACTTGGGGAATGCTGCACTGTCAATCACGCTCGCCTTTACCCTAAGGCATTCAAACAAGGATGCGTCTGTCCAATCGAGTGGATGTCAAAGATCCCATGGCCCTATTTTGAAGAGCAGGGGATGACTCTGTATTGAGCCAATATTAAGAACATAACGGCTAGGAGGAAGAATAGACAATTCAGCCCCTAGTGCCTGCTCAGCCATTTAATACAATCATGGCTAATCTCACCTCCACTTTCCTGCCCTCTCCCATAACCCTCTAACCTGTTACTAAGTAAAAATCGATCTCCTTCTCAAATTTATTCAGTGTCCCATTGCCCACCACTCTCTGGGGTACTGTATTCCACAAATTCATGACCCTTTCAGAAAAGTAATTCCTCCTCATCGGTCTTAAAACTGCCTCCCCTCAACTGATTACCCAATGACTACACTGAAAAAAGTGCTTAATTAACTGTGTTGCACTTTTGGCCATCCTGAGATGATGGAAGACACTTCGTAAAGGCAAGGCTTTCAGGGGGAAACCACCAACATGCCATTTTTGCTTTCTATATTTTCTCTATGTATGTCGTAAGCAACCAATGTTAGTTCACATCTGATCAACGAACTGGACTGATCCTTTACAACATCTACTTTGTTGCCCATTTGTATTTCTGTTGGAGAATCGCTGACCCCTTCAGTTTGTGTTGGGTTCAAAGACTCCATTCCCATGGGATTAATGGGGTCAGGAGGCAGGGCCCTGCTTCAATTATAATCCACTGTTAGCAAAGATTCTAATGGCTGACAGGACAGTGGTCATAAGAGAAATGAGCTTGAATAGACTCAGTTCAGCTTTTCCAGGGGGAAAAATATCCACAGCAGAGTGTGCACTGGTTCCATATTTGGTTGGGCAGCCTCACTCATTGAGGAAATGGAATAGTCATGTTGGAGCCATTCAGCGTTTTGATGTTAAGACATGTTGTTGGAATAGTACAGGACAGTTTGCCCGCTGCACCTGCCCAGCCAAGGTGCGTGAACTAGGGCTTTCTTTTTCTCCCCCCAAGGTTACGCTTTCAGAGGTAGCATCAGAGGAGCAGGAAAGCTGATGTTTCGGGCCTAGACCCTTCATCCACTGATCTTTTTTTTAAATGGAGAAGCTAACTCCAACCTGGCAGCATGGTGACCCAGTGGTTAGCACTGCTGCCTCTCAGCACCAGGGACGTGGGTTTGATTCTACCCTTGGCCAATTATCTGTGTGGAGTCTGCACGTTCTCCCCGTGTCTGTGTGGGTTTCCTCTGGGTGCTCTGGTTTCCTCCCACAGTCCAAAGGTTTGCAGCTTAGGTGGATTGGCCATGCTAAATTGCCTCAGGTTGTGCGGGCTAGGTAGATTAGCCATGGGAAATGCAGAGTTGCAGGGATAGGGTAGGAGGCAGGTCTGGATGGGATGCTTTCTGGAAGGTCGGTGTGGCTTTGATGGGCTGAATGGCCTGCTTACACTAAGGATTCTATGATTCCATGAAGTAGGTTCAAAAGGTGTCCTGCGCAAGGAATCTCTCAGCCAAACTAGGGCGTGTTGGTCCACTAGCCTCCTGAAAGTAGTGCCAGCAAGATAAGGAGGCCATTCACCATTGCTTATTTGGTAACTCACCAGTCAACAGAGCGCTTCATGAGAGACCAACGATAAAGCTGGGGGCAGACAATGGTTGAGAATGCCTCATTGTTTTTTTTTCTCCTTCACATTTTGGATAGCATCCTCCAGTGTCTGTCTTACAGATGGCTGATTAGACTGCCAGGTACTTGAGTAAACCAGTTGCATCTTTGTTCACTGCTGCCATTTGCAGACCGATCTGGATTTTTCCAAAGGTCTGATTTTATTTTCAGGTGGACAGAATGCCAACTAAACCACTATCATCAGTATGGTGGGTGGCATTGACTACATTGGATCCATTGTACACCGGTTAAATGGATTTTGTGCCATCCAATTATGAGACCAAATACTCTCCACAGATATAAATGATAAACAGGACTTTGTACAATCCGTTCAGCTCTGAGCGGTGAGAGTAAAACCTGACCAGAAATCTCGGGTAGGAATCTGTATTGTCTCACTATTCAAGTTAGAATGGTCTGAATTTGGGTCTTTTATGGGGTAGGAAAGTTCCCAGTGATGCCTTGTGATAGATGTACAGCCTGCTGGGATCCTGCTACAACAGTAATTACAATAATGTACATCATCCAAAGTCAAAGTAATGGTTTTGTTGAGTCCCCAGCTTTGGTCCTTTTAAATAAGGTGCTCCCTTTTGGAGACAACGAGATGTCAAAAAGAAGTTTTACATGGAGTTACTGGAATGATAGCAGGGGTTGAAATAATACTAAGGCAAATTTGCCGGTTTGGGAGGGAGAAGAGATATTGGCAGATAACCTATGATTTCCATCTGAAAAGTAAGGAAGATATCTGGCAAATAAATGAAGTCAACAGTATAAATTGGCAATTGGATGCCTTTCTGAAAGGAAAGTGGGATTGAGTAATAAGGCAAAGAGATTCTTACTGTCTGTTACATGTAATGAAATCATTGATAAAATTCAAATTGTGAATGTATGTTAAAAAAACACAGAACAGTATGTGAAGTACATAAAGAGTATGATCATGAACTATCTTTAGATATGATAAAACAAAACTGCAGATGCTGGAAATCTGAAGCAAACACAGAAATGTTGGAAAAACTCAGCAGGTCTGGCAGCATCTGTGGAGAGAAAGCAGAGTGACCCGTCTTCAGACTGATTGCGGATTCAGAACGTTAACTCCGCTTTCTCTGCACACTTGCTGCTAGACTTGCTGAGTTTCTCCAGCAATTTCTATTTTTAGATATGGATTGATATGTTTGGTGATGACATCAACCAAGTGGATTTTCTCTGTCTGTGAATGATCATTTTTCCACATATCTAGAGTGCTTTAACACTGACACTGGGTGTAGTGCATCTTGTGGTGTATATACACGTCCTGTGCCCTGATGAATTGGAGTAAATTCATTGGCGTAAATCTCAAGGTCAACAGCTACTTGTTTTTATAAATTGCATTAAGTGTAGAAGAATGTACAAGGTGTTTCACAGGAGCATTATCATATAAAATTTGAAATCGATCTATATAAGAGGATACTGGGACAGGAGGTAAGTTTTTAAGGAATGTCTCAAAGGATCAGTAAGAATAAGGGAGATTAAGATAGGAAGTTACAGAGCTAGGGGCCTAGGTAATTGCAGGACCATTCGCAATGAAGTTAATGAAAGGCTGGAATGCAAAAGAGGCCAGAATTGGAGGTTGTGAAGTTTTCCAGAATGAAGTTAACGAAATGAGGGGTAAGGCTGTATTAAAAGTAAAATCAGAAATGAACAAATATGTGTCACACAGTAGTAAACATAAACTTAATGTGGATAAATATTGCAAGAAAATGGGATTTTGTTTCTAATTAGAGCTTTCCTCTACATCCAAAATATAACTAATTAGCTTCTGAACTTCATCTGTTCTGATGAAAGAACATAACTAAACATAAATTTATACTGCAGCATCAAATAGTTCATCATGAATGTGTTACAACAATAAGTAATCAGTCATTCTTCGGAGGAGCATGCTCATCTCTGTGTCATAAGGTGGTGGATTGAAGCTCATTTTAAGATTCATCGTATAATCCAAGCAGATACGCCAGTGCAGTATTGGGGGGATTCTACACTGTCTGAAGTGCCATCTTTGAAATGAGATGATAAACTGAAGCCACCTCCTTCCTGTGATGTGGAGGTAAAAGAAACAGGATCTGGAACTCACTGCCTGTAGTAAATGCGGTAAAGACAGAAACTCTCAATTCATTGAATTGTAGCTCAAGTGCCATAACTTGCAGAGCTATGGACCAAATACTAGAAAGCGGGATTAGGCTGTGTGGCTAATTCTACAGCCAACGCAGACATGATGGGCCAAGTGGCCTCTTTCTGTGCTTAAATATCCTATGATTTTAATCTATTCCATGATTTGAAGGAGCGCAGGGTAATCCCTCAAGTTCTGGCTGATATTTAATCATCCTGTAACATCTTGAAATAATTGCTACTTTCAGGACTTTGCACAAATTGGCTGCTGCATTTTCTTCAATGCGGTACTGACCACACCTCAGAAAAGTATCTCATCTGCTGTATCAAGCTTTGGGATATCCCGAGGTTGTGAAAAGCATCTCAAATGATTGAAACCTACCTTGCATCTATTGGTCCTGTAGACTGTAAGGAGATAGTCTCAATGAGTATTATTTAACAACAAATGCAGCACTTTGTGATGCTATTTCATGAGAGTTCTGCTTGTTCCTTTCTCTACAATTGGAGGGAGCTGGTGTTTTGGCACTGACTTATTTTTTGAAAAATTTTCAGCAGGTCTCATCAAAGGGTCAAAAGATTAAGAC